GCAAAGATGCCACTGCATGGGGTCCTTTAAGTTCAAATAATGCCTCAATTTCTGACCATGGTATAATAACATGCAAATGGATTCTGCTGCAGATGTGCAGCCATCTTCAGACAGAAATGTTGTGGATTTTATAACTGCAAAACTAACCTCCATCGCAAGCGCAGAATCAGCTCTGAGCTATGAATCAATTAATACCTTCCTCAAGTTTAACGAGATTTCTATCTGCCTCCCTCCATCTCATCAACACACTAACCATTAGCAGTCTGCAGTGCCGCTCAGCTCCCATTTCTCTGACTTGTGGCCAAGTCTTTGCATGTCAATGTGCCTGGCAGCTGCCCAGGTGTCGACCCAGCGAATTTAGCAAACCAGCCAATTTTTTTTTTTTTTTCTTCTTTTGTGTTAAATCGCCTCTCCTTCTGGTCCCTTTTGCAAGAAAGGTCACCGCTTCAACTGCCCAAAGACAGTTTTTCTCGGAATAATTACTTAAGACAAAAAGGAAGACAGGAAATCGTGTCGACCAATCTTGCGTGCGACTTATTTTCTGATTCCCTAGCCGTTTGTCTCTGGGCCTCTACTTCTGCCTTTGTTTCTCCCTCTCACACCCTCCTCAGACTTAAGACAAATCAGATTAAAAAAAAAAAAAAAATCACAGAGACAGGCAGTCTGTGGCCGACAGCGAGACAAGACTGCTTGTCTCAATGCTAGTGTGGCTCTAAAACAACACGATGTATGTCCCTACTCATCACGTCACATTCTCCTGACCGTCCAGCACAGGGAAGATGACGAGAAGACTAAATGCTGACAGGGGAGCTAACCTTGGCAGTGACTCGAGGGACCGGGGCCAAGGCGGGCTCTTAGGAAGAGGACAGAGAGTTATACAGCTGTAAGCCCTTGACTCGTCCCCTGGGGTAAACAACAATCTATTGCTTTCAGAGGCCATCCCTGAACTCATCAGGCAACACAGGTTGGCTAAAGTGGAGCGGATTAGGCCTAAGTAGAGGCATACAGCGGGGGGGAAACAGTGTGAATGAGTAGAAAACAAAGTTGCATAGACGTATTTAAAGCCAGCCTTGTTGTGTGTGTAGGATTACCGATTTGTTATTTATGTGCGTGTGATGGTAGTAAAGCTTTGTGACTTCTATATAACAATTTGGGCTGAGCACAAGAGCAATACTGTAACTGATACACAACTCAATGTACACTTTTTTTAAATGATAATGTAGGGATGTAGGCCTTTCAAATCTGCATCAATCTTTTTTTTGGCTCATACAACTCTAAACATAGCTGAAACAAACCACTCTGACTGATTATCACTTGATGAAGATTTTACAGATGGCTTGCAATAGAAAGTGCCTGTTTACGCATCCAGCAGACATGGATCAACATTATCGTTCACGCGGAGTCACGTTTCGGTCCATCTGATGAACAGAAGTTCAATATTCACTCCTTTTTTACGAGTTAAGTCTCCACCCACTCTTGAGAAAAACATTTGACTCTTTGCCTGTTACATGTTGCACTTTCTTCCCGATCTAGCTGCTAGCTATGTCTGTCTGCTGTTTGGTGAAAGTTGAGTACAGAGTGCAGAGTTGGGCGATAACTCTTTTCGGGTTCATCACTAGGACCACTTTCACAATACGTGCGGTCATTCGACTGCACTTTAATATAAAAACACTGACTGATGGAGCTTTGAGTTTGGATGCTCTGTGGGAGTTCAGTTCTCAGTCAGGGGACGAGATCAGATGTGCTGTCTCAACTGCATTCATCAAGAGCATCCAGACAGCAGCTCATTCAAAGGTGACATTTCATCGGTCACAATGTGCCAGACGCTTGAAGTCACTGAGCGGGTTTTTTTCAGATTGGCTGGTAGTGTGTAAAATGGCAGTTCCCTTTAAGAATAAATAGTTAACAATAAATATGTGTTAAAATGACTTCAGCAAGAAACTTTGATGTATAGAATTATTGAACAAATGAATTGTATTCAGAATGCAAATATTCAATCATTTAAAAAGCTGCTAAATTCCAAATTCAGAGCATAAATTTGAGTGAGGGACACGGCTCTCAACATGGAGATGGCTGACACCTGGGACTCCCGTGCACTAACATGCACTGAGCACAGAGAAACTCCATGTACAACACAAACAGAGGGAGAGAGACTTCATTCTCTGCTCAAGTGGAATGACTCCACCATATCTTTACATAGACAATAGTTGTTGAGAAAATATTAAAGTCTGGTATCTGCACCAGAATATGAAAGGGTGTTTGTACAACGTTTTGGCTGCACATCATGAGTTTGAAATGATGAGCTCACTCGTAGGTCTGGCAGAGTTTAGACAGCTAAAATGATTATGGTTGTAATAAACGCTTGTAATAGCATTCAGACTAAAACGAGGTGGCATTTAAATAACTGAGGTGAAGCATTAATAACCTCCAGAGACAGCTTCTCTCCTAGTTGGCTGCCTGTCAGACTAATAACAGCAGTATAGGCCAAGCAGCAGTGGTCGTAGTATAACTAGTGGTATTCACAGTTAGACATAAACCATAATCATTATGCATGGCCTAATAGTGGAATGAGAAGCAGAGCACGAAGTAAGGACTTGCTGACAATGACACAATAAAGAAAATGAAGAAAGAATGAAGATACATATATTATATAAGGAGTGTTTCACTCCCTCTCAGTCCCACAACCGACCCAACTCCTCACACAACAAATGATGTGCACTCTCTCAAAGAAACCTAGACAGCAACACTCTTCACTTACAGTACAGAAGCAGCATGCGATCGCCTTCAGTTCACAGATGGAGACCGTTTTAAATGTGGAGAGAATTGATTGTAGACACATGGATGGTTAATTCTGCAGTTAGTATTCTATCCAAAGCAGTCTGACATCACGTACAATATGAGGTGCAGAGGCGCTCTGCTGCAGTCTTTAGTCTGAAGAGCAGATCTGTAGACAATGACCTCATCACTTCAACATGCATCATCACTGTCACGTCAATAGAAAACTCAATTAACACATGGGGGCTATGCATCTTCCTCAGAGACAGATAAAGCCCTTCAAGTTAGGGCTGCACAATTAATTGACTATTAATCATCATCACGATTTTGGTACCCCACAATTAAATGAACATGATCAACGGCAAAATTGACATTTAAAATAAGTGGGCCGTTCATAGAAATCTCTGCTGCATATCAAATAAAGCGCTTCCCAAACTGACAGCTATCCAACAGGGGCAATCCAGATGTTTTGGCTTCACTTTCGGGGGTGCACCCTACAGTGGCAGCCTGTGAACCTTGCTGAATGTAACAATAAAACCATAAAAATGCATTTATCTAAAGAAGGTCCCAACGTGGAGCCCCAATCATAAAGGCACAACCAGAGGATCAGCGCCGTAAGATAAGAGATAAATGTATCTATGTATAAATGTATCAAGGACATTGACACTGTGAAGACTAAAATGTTTCTTAACCAACCCGTGAATCGAGGCTAAACCAGGGGGAACATGTTCTCATCTCTTGGTGTTAATCTAAAATCCTATAGGTGCAGTATTTAGGATTTACTTAAGGTAAGAGTTTGCCTCGTGGCTTAGCCCTGCATAAAGTGAATTACAAAAGGTCCACACCAGAGGAGATAAAAACACAGACAGCTTTTTCAAGATCAGTGAAGGTTAGAGAGGACTCAATTTGAGCTACATTATAATCCCTGGTTGTCGGCGGGAACAAACCAGTGACCTTTTAAAATACAGACATACAATCACTATTCCAAAAAAGCAGCTTATATATATCTGGCACTTTTTTGTGGCTTTGTGCAGGCGGTATTGCTTCCTCTCTTCTTTTTTTTTACTGAGAAATAACTCTCAATGTCACTGCCAATGAGGAATGCCTGAAAAAGACAAAATCAGAGTGGTGAACTATTTTCTTTTTCCCTGAGGTAAAAGCCTCATTGAGATTAAAATGTGATTCCCACAAGAGGCAGACTCTTAAGAGACATATGCTATAAGAGAGTATATATAACACCCAGTTAATACGCTTTCACTGGTATGCGTTTTTTAATATATCTAAAATGAAGTAAAATCACTGAATAAGGAGCAAAAGCATTGACCGCGAGTGTGATTTTCCAGATGCTTAAAAACTGACTGGAACCTTGTTGAACAACTGCATCCCTGTGATGCGAGTATATGACATGGGCAAATAGGTGTGAATGAGTGCAATCACAAAATTGATCAGAAAAGCATGACTTAAGTATTGAGTGAAGAAAGGAGGGGGGGGCGGTTAGGAGACAGAGAACAAAACGCAGCGATGAATTTTCAGCACCATGGACAGCTCATAAAACCAAGGACCTCACAAGGTTTCCTACTGAATCAATCTTCCCTGAACACAAATCAGACACGCTCCTTTATCGCCTCATTTGCTAATAGATGTTATTAACATGTTGTTAATTGGCATTAACAACAGTGCACAGGGCTAAAGTTGTCCCAGTCCTTATTCTCAGTCTACAGCTTCAGAGCACTGGGGCCAACACTCAGCTTCTTCAACACGCCCACACGCCCCCACCCCCCCCCCCACACACACACACACACACACACACCAGCTGCTATTGAAGGTGTCAGGTTACACTCCTAGAGGTAGTGATCCCTGCAGGCCTACAGTTAACACTACAACCAGTATAGTGTTGTAGTGTTAACTGTAGGCCTGTAATGTCTGTTGCACTACATTTCTTGCAGATCTAACAAATTGCCAAAGCTGTTTCCAGCCAACAAAATCGATTCCCCTCAATAAATCGAAGCTTGTTAACTTCCAAGAGGTTGAGTTTAGACACAAACACATATGGGAATGCACAGGAGCTGTAGCATCGTTAAGAGGACAAGACCGATGCAAATAGTTCCGATGACGGTAACATTCGTGCCAGTTCACTAATCTGCACCCTGTAATGAGAGGATGAATGTGCATTCTGTAAGAGCTGCATGTGTGCAGGTTTAGTGAAACAATAATAATAAACTTACCTTCACTGCTTCGGCATGAGTGACTTTGTCGAAGACTTTGTCGTTGACTTTCATGATCTGGTCACCGATCCGGAGACCCTCTTTCTCCGCCAGGCTCCCGGGCTCCACCAGGGACACGTAGATACCGACCCCGTGCTCCGAGCCGCCGCGGATGCTGAAGCCCAGGCCCTCGTTGCTCTTGTGCCGCTTCATGGTGACCTGCCGGATCTCGCCCGGCGGCTCGTGGACAAAGTTCCTCCCGAGCAGCGGCACCAGGGGAGCTGTCCCGTCGCTGCTGGTGCTGAAGCTGTCCGGCGAGCCGCGCAACGCCACCTGAAAGTCGGGCGGGTTGTTCGGCGAAAAATGCCCCGGGGGAGTCGGGCTGGCGCCGGGGAAGTCGCCCAGCGGGGGTTCGGCGTTGCCATTGCTTGTTGCGACTGAATCCGATTTTAAATAGAGGCCCTCCGAGGTGTACTGCTCGAAGAGAAGCTGGTCGGAGCGGGGGATGACCAACCGCAGCATGGGCAGAAGTTGCCGCTTGCTGGGCGCGTTGAGAATGACGTTGAGGGTCTGAACCAGGTCGTACACGTTGCGTTTGGAGTGGTAGACGTTGAGGCAGTGGATGAACTGCTCCCTCTCGAAGTCGTTGAGCAGGAGGTTGAGCGCGTTGTGCAGCTTCCTCACGTTGGCCGACAACGTCCGCGCGCTGGAGGCCACCGAGTTGGCCGAGGAGCTGAGCGACATGCGCTCCAGGTCGGTGCTGCTCATCCTGGCGGTGTGACCGGGACACGGCGCCACACTGATGCGGGTTAGAGTGCAGGCATTGCGGGCTGGCGGCGCGGGATTAGACCGGCGCTTGGCATTACGACCGCTGGAGGACGTCCACTCCGATTAAATCCATGTTGTCTGGTTCCGACACATGATCCGCATATTACTTGCAATTTGGGTGGACAGAGCGGTTAAAGGGGGAAACTTCAACGGGCAATTAAGTCAAATTAATTCGATGTCACAGTTGATACAAATTAATCATCACTTACCATGATTTAGATATCAGTAATTGGATTCTACAAACTTCCCATGCGAAAGGGTGCGTCAAGACTGGACATGCAACAGCCTCGCGGGAAACTCGTCCCGCTCCGTCAGAGAGCTTAGTAATGAGCCGCGTAAGGATCTCAGCCTGCGTGTCATTAGCCGCGGTGTAATTTTCCAGGAGGTCAGGTGGCTGCTGAGCCGCCGCTTCTCTGGTGTCCGCCTCCCTCGTCAACAGCTCCACGAGCAAGGCGGAATGAAACAACGCCAGAACTTAAAACGATTTGTACTTGGTCCACTGTTGCGCGCGCGACCAAGAAAAGAAAAGCTATTTCCTCCACTTAGAAAAATAAAATAAAAAAAGTTATTTTCGTGCTCCTGCTCTGTGTCCCGACGAGTCCACGCTATCCGGCTCCGGTGTCGGTTCTAGGTCCAAACGACGTCAAGTTCACAAAAATATCTATCCAGCAGTGTTACGTGGAGCAAGCGACGTGTACTCAGCTGTTCGTTGGCTGGTTTAGCATTTGTTATGCGTCCGGCTGCAGTGTTGAGGTGACCTGCTGCTCGGTGTCTCCGTTACTACAACGACAGAGTGGGGACTGGCGGCTCTCTCGCCTCCGACTGTCCTCCGTCAGGAAGTGACGCAGCCTCGTGCAGCCAATACATTGCTTTGCTTATTACCAACAGCATGCGCTCGCGCTCGCGCTCCCACGGCACTTCCGCGACCAGTAACTAAACAGGACTTCAATTAAACATTATAGAATAGCCTGCCTTTGACTGTGCAGCTTTGTAGTTGGTTTTCGGTTCTCATGGTTTAAATCTGTATTTTAAAGCCCATGTTCTATAAAAGCACAAGATGAATTGCAGTTTCAATTTTTTTTTTTCCACGCACTATTTCAAAACGCAATTTAGCTCACAGTTTGTCTTTCTACAAGCTTGCCCTATGAAGAATTCCGAAGAAAATAAAAATCGAAGTGGGAAAAATTCAAAACAAATCCAGGGTGGGCTGGTTGTGTCTCAACAGGTGGCACAGCAGCTCAGTGAGGTATTTCACTTGTTGACTGGTTCTGCTTTTTAAAAGTTGCAGTAGGCTTAAACAAAAAGGGAATACATGAACACATCTTGACCACAGAGTGGCACCACTGAGTGCTACAATGTTACTGTATATCATGACTTTATTATAATAGCTTGAGAGGACATTTTCCAGTCTTCCTCTAACAGGCACCACAGCAACTTTTAAGGCAGAGGTCAGCCTCATCAAGAAGAAGAAAACCTGTTTTTAGCGTTGACATGGATTAAGAAAGACAATGAGTCTCAATGATGTCTGATAATTGAAGCCATTTCAGTGTTCTGCATTGTAGCATCAAGTCTCTTTGTACTGAGATAACTGTCCACTGTGAAAGTAATGCAGGTTTTGATGCCTCATTTCCACATTGTAAAAGTGAAGCCTTACTATATCGTGTCACATCAATTTAGTGCATCAGTGTGTATTACTCCGATCATTTCCTTCTTTCTCTGGACAAACATCAATCTTTGCCTGCAGGTCGTGGAAAGTTTGATCTGCTAGAATCCCTGATCCAAGCCAAAAGGAGCAAAGTGGAGGCTAACACGGGCTAACTCGGTTGCCCGTGTGATCAATCACAAGCACAAAACGGTGACGACAGCAACTACAACTGACATGTGGTCTGAGGTCACTGTGTTGACAAATGATGCTGTGCAGTGCTGGCAGAGTTTCCACGCTGGGCCTTCCTTAATATCTGCAGCATCCAGGAGGCAAATATTCCTTCTGCTGTATTAACCAGTAACTGAAGCGTTTAAAAGGCTGACCAGGGCAAACTGAGGACTCTCTGCTCTTGGAAAAGGAACCCTTGTGTCGTTTTAATTTGAAAGTGTGACTAAGTGTGGGCTGGGTGATATAATTAATAATGTCAAAGTAATTCACAAGGTTGAAAATGGGCCGATGCACTTGGAAAATTGAAAACTGAAAATGATCTTTGGAAATGAGTCAAAAAGACAGAGAATGCACTGATTATCAGAGGAGCAATGGAGGTTAGAGCAGAGCTGACTGAAATCACAGATGAAGTCAGCACTCCGCGTCCTGAAAGTGACACGGCAAAGATCAAATCAACAGCATCTGATAGCATGTGCATGGTGTCAGAGGAAGAGCTTCATGGCTTCATGATTTCCTCTGCAAAATCTTTATTTTTAATTTTCTTCTGAATAAGCAGCTCTGTAGTGAAAATGGTTTGATATTGGATTAACGGATGAATCATCTTGTCTCAATATATCATAAAAAAGAAGAACATGCACCACAAGTTATCAGAACCTAACATGATGTCTTCAAATTGCTTGCTGTGTTCTACCAATATTTTAAAACCCTAACCCTTCTAATTTACGATGATATAAAATGAAGAAAAGCAAATTCTTTGATGAGCAAAATATTGCATTTGTCGAAACATTTGTAACTCCTTAATTGACGAATCATTGTGGTACTAGTCTGAGTCAGGTCGCCAGATGGTCATTGAGAAAAAAATAAAATAACATATCAATAATAAAATATATTTTATACTGAGGAATGTTTCTTACAGTCGTCTGTAGTATAATTTGCCTCAGAATAGGTGTTATTGAGTGTGTTTGTGAGAGTCAAAGTGAGCATATGCATGAGATTCTGATTTTAAAAGGGCACAGGACGCATCAAAAACCCTCGAGCCTGTTGGATAACGCCTATAGGTGCTAGCTGTACAAGAACTGCCGGAAACATTTGTGTCTTCCTATTTGGATTTCCAGTTTGTGGTCACTGAGCCTGTAATTGGTTAGGACTGTCTCTGCTTTCTAACTGAACAAAAGCCATGCTCTTGAAGCAGTTTACCGAAGATTACACATATTGCATATTATATACACAGGTGTCGTCTTCTGCAGGTTCTATATTATACCGATGCAGTATTTGATTGCTATGAAATAGAGTACAACACAGTACACTACAGCTTCATACAGTTTATAACAACTATTCTGAGGGGGCCATGACTCGAAGAAGTTGAGAATCACTGCTGGAATCCTCAAGAACAATTACAACAATTCCGTTCACAGCGCAGAAGGTGGTTTAGGTTATCGCGTGGTTAAAAAGCAGCTATTTCTCTGGACTTAGTGATATGTGACCATGGTTTTTATTACGTCTGCCCCCAAACCAATACAACGTGAATGGAATTCATGAAGATGAACAAAACTCGACATACCTGTATTACTGGGCAACACCCAATAAGTAATGTCAACAACTGCATGATGATGGTGCTGCTCATGATCTATTCTATGAACAACAATGTGTTCATGGAAACGTGTGAATGCAGTAAATGTAAAGAAAAGCAGACCTGTTCATCAGAGACACACTGAGACAACACTGAGAGATCGTGTTCACCTCTGCGACTGAAAAACCTTGATACAGCAAACATTTAGTTTCTTTATGTCAGTGTGGCTGAGCAGACTCTATGTGCATGCGTGTGCACTTGTGTGTGTGTGCGTGTGTGTGTGTGTGTATGTGTTTGAAGTTGATCGATGACAGTAATTAGAGGAGTTCACCAATGGGAAACACTGAAAAGCCAAACAGTATTATAATGGAGAGAGACACACGCTGCACAACAATCAGAGCAGCAGAGAAGAGCTACTTGAAGTTCACTGTGTGTGGAAGCCAGTGAATGACTGAGACAGAAAAAGAGTCAATGAATACAATGACTTCTTCACGAACACCCGCAGAGCTATAATGATTATGGCTATTATCTCAGTTTTCAATTTGAACTGCAGAAGCTCTTCGCTGAACGCCAGCGCTACGGACGGGGACGTATTCTCTCTTGGTGGAAGGACAATTAACATGTTAATGAAGAGATGACCGCTGTAAGATGAACTACTGCATTACAGCTCAGCTCTGGGTTTAACTTTGTGTGCTGTCGGACTGATATAGAACTGCAGCTTTACTTTACTGTGAGATTATGGCTACTCCTTTTAGCTGATGAGTATGACCAGGGCACTTTGCCCAAGGTAAAGATTTCAGAAAATAAAGAAGGCTGCCTAGTAAATTATCACATTTCATGGTTAACTAATCATTCTGAAGGCTTAACAAGGCTTAAATACTTCACTTAATAGGCTTAACTGTCTGTGTATGACTAAAAGCTTAGCAGAGTCATCAGTTTTCATCAAATGGAAGATACATGGTGGGCATTAAAAACAAAAGCCATTTGTATTTAAATGTGATTTATACGATATTTACTGTATATACCGCCCGACCTCCGGTCCCCCCCAGGTTAACACTGTTTGCTGTGTCAGCACGGTTGCTGTTTTTTGCACTCATTGACTGTGTATAAGAAGTGTGCGTGGTCTTCATGACGTCACCCATTGGTTTGTGGACTGTCGTTATGAAGCCTTCAGTTTGGCCGTCGCCAGTTTGTTTTTTATTATAAAGAATTAAAATTGATTCCTTGTGAATTTATTAAAAATCCAACAGCGAGAAATAAAACTGGACCAATTCAGAACATGTATCCTGTATTTATTTCACACACTCACACATTGCTGAATCATGCAGCAGCCAGGTCTGACAAGAGATAAAAAGTGCCTTTCATTTGCATTCTGCCTAGTGGCCAGCAGGGGGCGACACCACTGCAAAAAGAAGTCTGATTGTATAGAAGTGACTTCTTCTCACTTGATTTATTAACTCAGTAAACATTGTAAACATGAGTTTATGGTCTCAATTGCTAGTTTCAAGTCTTCTTCAATACATGATGTTCATTTAGTAAATTATGATCCATTTAGAGTCAAACAGACCATAAAGCAGGGTACGCTTTAGGGCGTGGCTACCTTGCGATTGACAGGTGGATACAATGGCGTTGTCCGGTCTGGGAGTTGTCCGTGTTTTCCTCTTACAACTTAATCCTTTCACAGTGTGTTTTCAATTCATGAAAACAAAATGTCTTATTCAGTTGTACTTAGCTCCACCCTCTCGGGTCACTTCTGGTTGCACAAAAACAAGATGGCGACGGCCAAAAAGACTAACTCTAGGCTTCAAAACCGCACTCCACAAACCAATGGTTGAATTCATGGTGACTGAGTTCACTTCTTATGTACAGTCTATGAGTAGAACATACATTCAACATGAAGAAAAAGTATCATCACATCACAATCAGCAGAGCGCACAGTGTATACTTGAGGCCTTCAACTGTATGTGTGAGGGGATTTGAGCTCAGCAGGCTGTAGAAGAACAGGGATCGCCCCTTAATGGGTCATGCAACATTGAGCATCTCCCACTAATTAACTTTTAAATACAACCGTGACTGTTCATCTGGCAGGAAGAGTGTCTCATTTGTTTTTTAGTAGGAGACGCCGGTGCTTCAGGGGACATTTAAGGACATAAGCATAACTCCTGGCATACTTTAATGTGTTAATAATACTATATGTAAAAACGGTATAATGCCTCTATGGTAAGCACAATATCTATTAGAGAGGTAATTCAATTAAAGTGTTTAGACCTGTTTATACTTGAAATATGATGTAGCTGAAACATGTGCCACAAAATACTCCCTCAATCATTTCCCATCAGTCTCCATTTAGGAAGAAA